CCGGCACAAGAAAAGTCTATGGACAAATTGAAATCCTCACTTCGCGAAAGTAAAGCGCTCGTGCCGTTGGATTACGAAAATAATCCTAACCCAGTGGTACTAGCTGTAGACACCTCTTGGAAAGCGGTTGGGTTCTACATATATCAGGATAGCCATACGACTGGGCTTAGGCAGTATGCCAGGTTCGGTTCTATAACTTTGAATGATAGAGAAGCTCGATTTTCTCAACCAAAAAGAGAATTATTTGGTTTAATGCGATCTTTACAAGCTGCATCATATTGGCTTCTAGGATGTCGAAAACTAATTGTGGAAACAGACGCGAAATACCTGTCTGGTATGCTTCGAAACCCTGAAATGGGACCGAATGCAACCATCAACAGATGGATTGACGCATGTCTAATGTTCCATTTTAAGTTACAGCATGTCCAAGGAAAGACCTTTGGCGCAGATGGATTATCACGCAGAAACGCTCAACCAGGTGACGATGTGTATCCACCTTCAGATGAACATCTCGACGAACCCATTGGTGTCATTGAAGTGTTACCAGATCCAGATGGAGGGGAGCCCCCTTTGGATTTCGAAACCTTCAAAGATCAAATTGACTCGAGGGGGGGATATATCCAACAATTGGCTCTAGACATCTCAGATTTTCAGGATGAACTAGACAGGGAAATAGCAATGACACAGAAAATAGCTAAAGATGTGAAAACAAGAGTGGACAATGATCCAGATCATACAAAAAGCAGCCCAGAACAGAAGGAATTTCTTCGAACTTACATGATTTCGACTTTAACTTCACCAGGCCTGGAGGCCAGGTTTGATGAACTAGAAACAGAGCAACCTTACCCGGAAACTCATAGGTCATTCATTGGACAGTCACAGGATGAATTCCTTCTTATACTAAGAGAATGGCTGANAAATCCTAAAAAGATCGAAGGATATTCTGATAAAAAGTATGGCGCTTTCGTAAGATTTGCAAAAAGTTTCTTCCTAGACAAAGAGGATAGATTATATCGTCGAAGCATTGAATCACGTCACAAGCTAGTGGTCGACAAGTCTCACCGAATGTACATGATGAGATCTGCACACGATGCTATGGGACATAGGGGAGCATATGCAACGCAGAATATGTTAACAGAGCGTTTTTGGTGGCCTGAAATCGAAAGAGACGTACATTGGTATGTGAAAACATGCCAGCGTTGTCAGGAACGAACCAAACGTGTGGTGGAAATCCCACCCACCGTGACACATACACCATCTATTTTCCAACGACTACACGCTGATACCGTACACATGACTCCGAAATCAAATGGATGTAAGTACATCGTCCATGGGAGGTGTGCACTGTCAAGCTGGGTTGAAGGAAAACCCCTAAAAAGTGAAACTGCAAGAACTGTCGGCTTATGGCTTTTTGAAGAAGTCATCTGCAGATGGGGTTGTCTAGAAGTAATAATAACTGACAATGGTTCGGTTTTCCTTGCTGCTGTAAAATGGCTTGAAGAAAAATACGGGATAAAGGGTATTAGGATATCTCCGTATAATTCTAAGGCAAATGGCAGAATCGAAAGGCCCCATTGGGATATTATACAAATGCTCACAAAGTGCTGTGGACCCAAGAACCTTGCCAAGTGGTATTGGTTCTTTTGGCAAGTACTTTGGGCTGACAGGATCACGATTAGAAAAAGATTTGGTTGTTCGCCGTTCTTTATGGTGACAGGCGCACATCCAATATTACCTCTCGACGTACAGGAGGCTACCTGG